GAATTTCGCAAGGGGTTAGCCTTGCATTTTCAATGAATTTTGACGAAATTTTGACTGTTCTTTAAACCTCTCCTAAAAGCTTGTAAATGACTTAGAATGCAATCTGAGGTGGAAGAGACGTCTTTGAAGCAAATATCATTGAAACTGAAAAAGCTAAATTTTCGCCCGAAATTCATGAATTTTGCAAGGGGTGAGCTTTGCGTTTTCAATGAATTTTGACGAAATTTTGACTTTTCTCCAAACCACTCCCAAATGCTTGTAAATGACTTAGAATGCATTCTGAGAGTGAAGAGACGTCTTTTAAGCAAGTTTCATGGAAATTCAGAAATCTAAATTTTCTCGCAAATTTCACAAATTTCGCAAGGGGTTAACCTTGCATTTTCAATGAATTTTGACGAAATTTTGACTGTTCTTTAAACCACTCCTAAATGCTCGTAGATGACTTAGAATGCATTCTGAGGTGGAAGAGACGTCTTTTAAGCAAGTTTGATGGAAATTCGGAGAAATAAATTTTCGCCCAAATTTCATAAATTTCGCAAGGGGTTAGCCTTGCATTTTCACTGAATTTTGACGAAATTTTGACTTTTCTCCAAACCACTCCCAAATGCTTGTAAACGACTTAGAATGCATTCTGAGGTGGAAGAGACGTCTTTTAAGCAAGTTTCATGGAAATTCCGAGAAATAAATTTTCGCCCAAATTTCATAAATTTCGCAAGGGGTTAGCCTTGCCTTTTTACTCAATTTTGACGAAATTTTGACTTTTCTTCGAACCGGTCCTAAATGTTTGTAGATGACTTAGAATGCATTCTGAGGTGGAAGAGACGTCTTTGAAACAAATATCATTGAAACTGAAAAAGCTAAATTTTTGCCCGAAATTCATAAATTTTGCAAGAGGTTAGCCTTGCATTTTTAATCAATTTTGACGAAATTTTGACTGTTCTTCGAACCGGTTCTAAATGCTTGTAGATGACTTAAAATGCATTCTGAGGTGGAAGAGACGTCTTTGAAGCAAATATCATTGAAACTGAAAAAGCTAAATTTTCGCCCGAAATTCATAAATTTTGCAAGGGGTTAGCCTTGCCTTTTTAATTAATTTTGACAAAATTTTGACCGTTCTTCGAACCGGTCCTAAATGCTTGTAGATGACTTAGAATGCATTCTGAGGTGGAAGAGACGTCTTTGAAGCAAATATCATTGAAACTGAAAAAGCTAAATTTTCGCCCGAAATTTATAAATTTTGCAAGGGGTTAGCCTTGCATTTTCACTGAATTTTGACAGAACTTTGATTGTTCTTTAAACCTCTCCTAAATGCTTGTAGATGACTTAGAATGCATTCTAAGGTTGAAGAGACGTCTTTTAAACAAGTTTCATGGAAATTCAGAAATCTAAATTTTCTCGCAAATTTCACAAATTTCGCAAGGGGTTAACCTTGCATTTTCAATGAATTTTGACGAAATTTTGACTTTTCTTTAAACCACTCCTAAATGCTCGTAGATGACTTAGAATGCATTCTGAGGTGGAAGAGACGTCTTTTAAGCAAGTTTGATGGAAATTCCGAGAAATAATTTTTCGCCCAAATTTCATAAATTTCGCAAGGGGTTAGCCTTGCATTTTCACTGAATTTTGACGAAATTTTGACTTTTCTTTAAACCTCTCTTTAATGCTTGTAGATGACTTAGAATGCATTCTGAGGTTGAAGAGATGTCTTTGAAGCAAATATCACTGAAATTGAGAAAGCTAAATTTTCGCCCGAAATTCATGAATTTTGCAAGGGGTTAGCCTTGCGTTTTCAATGAATTTTGACGAAATTTTGACTTTTCTCCAAACCACTCCCAAATGCTTGTAAACGACTTAGAATGCATTCTGAGATTGAAGAGACGTCTTTTAAGCAAGTTTCATGGAAATTCAGAAATTTAAATTTTCTTGCAAATTTCACAAATTTCGATAGGGGTTAGCCTTGCATTTTTAATCAATTTTGACGAAATTTTGACTTTTCTTTAAACCACTCCTAAATGGTTGAAGATGACTTAGAATGCATTCGGAGGTGAAAGAGACGTCTTTGAAGCAAATATTATTGAAACTGAAAAAGCTAAATTTTCGCCCGAAATTCATAAATTTTGCAAGGGGTTAGCCTTGCATTTTTAATCAATTTTGACGAAATTTTGACTTGTCTCCAAACCACTCCCAAATGCTTGTAAACGACTTAGAATGCATTCTGAGGTGGAAGAGACGTCTTTTAAGCAAGTTTCATGGAAAATCAGAAAACTAAATTTTCGCCCGAAATTTATGAATTTTGCAAGGGGTTAGTTTTGCCTTTTTACTCAAGTTTGACAGAATTTTGACTTTTCTTCGAACCGGTCCTAAATGT